AAGGAAGGGCATAGTTTTCTGGAGAGAAAAATATGTAGGATTGTTGTCATATTGTGTAAAATCTCTTACTCAACCAATGCTTATATAGGAGAGGATGGTTAAATATCATTTAAACCATGGCATTAACATTGATTTAAAAGCAGTTTTGTAACCTTCAAAATAGACATGATTAATATGAAATTTAACACTGTTGTTACAAACATTAATTTTAAAAATTAAAATTGAGATTAATTCCTAAAAATTAGAATGAACACGTTCCAGAACAGTGCGCTCAAAAAAGTACCTCCACACGTAAGGATAACATGAGCTGCCACATTCGTGTCCACAGGTACACACAAGTCAAATCAAGACTCATACGCGAGAGAGAAACTCTTTGCTATACAATTCAAACTCCTTTTAAAAGGATATATATATATATATATATATATATATATATATATATAGAGCTGGCGGGAAACATTCGTGCTTACCCTTTGGATGAGATGGAAGAACAGGAATGAATGGGTTTTCAATAAGAAGAAAATGACTCCTCTGGCATGCGTCTCTTGGGTGGCTGCCCAGCTTAAGGATAAGAGGGAGGCTCTAACGCCGATCAACACAGGCACGGCGTCCTCTACATGGGTCCAATGGCATCCCCCTCGTCACGGCTGGCGAAAACTGAACACAGATGGAGCTGTCAAACAAAATACAGGGATGGCTTCAGTAGGTGGCCTTGTGCGAGATGAATCCGGGGAGTTGGTTTGGGGGTTCACAACGAAAATAGGAAGGACCAATAGTTTCATGGCGGAGTTGTGGGGCCTAAGGGAGGGTCTACGGCTCTGCCTTTAAAAGGGAGTTTCTCGGGTTATCGTGGAGATGGATTCCAATACGGTGGTTGACCTCATGAATGGAAAAAATGAGACAGATTCTAGCTATGCCACCTTGTTAAACGATTGCATGGGCATGGTTAAGAACTTCAAAGGCATCCTTTTCGTCCATGTGTTTAGGGAAGGGAATTGTTGCGCTGACTTCTTAGCAAATCTAGCTCAAAACAAAGATTGGGGCACCTAGGTGTTCACTGAAGCTATGGAAGGTTTGAAGGTTCATCACGTGATGCTGGGGGAGCTCTTAACCGTAGAATTAGATAATCTTTGAGGCCTAGCCTCTCTTTCCTCACCAAAAAAAAAAAAAAAAAAATAAATAAATAAATAAAAAAAAAAAAAAAAAAAATATATATATATATATATATATATATATATATAGTACAAACCCATTTCTCTTTTCAATGTGGGACAAAGGCTTTCAAGCCTTTTTCACATTCATTTTTTTAATTCAAATGGGTCTACTTTGAGACTCAAATTCTCATTCACATATTGTTATCTGTTTTGAGTGTACAATATATCAATTTTTCCGTCTTCCTTTAAAGAACCCGTCCACTTTGACTCGACGCAAATTAAAAGTAGTGGACTCACTAATATTGTACGATTGGTACTAATGTCAATTGATATGGTAAAATTTTTGACTCCTCCCCTGATGACATCTGTCAGACAGACTAATATGACATCTATCAGAAAGACTAATATGTGACCTTATTGAGTAATTAAGAGGTACTCTTACAACGTTATATTATTTCTAGACAAAAATTATATATACTTACTTCATAACTCAATGAGTATGATTGCAATTTTAAAGAATGAGTTGTCCCATGTAGACATCCATATGAAACTATCACAATTCAACAACTCAGTAAGCAATTGACAAGGACAGTGTACAAGTGTTTGTATGACTGAGCACCAGCAAACCACCAACACATCATTTCAAAAGTTATAACTCATCTAATATGATGCCAAAAGGAAGTCCCTCTTTACTAAATTAAAAATGAAAGGTGTAATAATGAAGAGAACGAAGCTTTTGAAGGGTCCCACATACATATAGACATTTTAAGTGAAAGGTAATTGTAATCACATTTGAAATTTCTCTTGATCAAAGATCATCAAAATTTAAACAAAAGTGAGAATCATGATTAAAGTGTCGTTAGAAGATAAATTTAGATATTGGACGTGTAAAGATTTTCTTTTTTAATTTTTTTTTTTTTTTGGAATCACAAGAGTTTGTAGTAGATAACATAGTATTGCGAGATGCTCTAACTATAAGAGCATCCATAGTAGTTGATTTTCGGTGCGGTATTTGAGGGGTTTTTGTAAGTGTGATTAGGAAAGAGAAAAAAATGTGGATGAAAAAGAAAAAATAAAAATAGAATAAATTCTGACTTAAAAAAAAAACAGTCAAAAGTTATTAAATGTTAGGCGACCACTCTGACGCGCCCGCTGTGGGCACAAGGTGCACGCCAAGCGCGCACCTCCCTTCCTTTTTTTTTTTTTTTAATAAATAGTTCTGAGTTCTGACATTATTTGGGTATTTGCAGAACAAATAACTTGAGTATAAACCACCTACCACATAAGTAATAACTCAGATTTAAGTTTTTTTGCCTGATATTAACCCCATATTATCCACTAATAAGGTTGCTCTAATGTCAAAGACTTTGTAATAAATTTTACTTTGTTGTAAAAATAAATACGACTCAAATGACTAACCAGTTCAAATTAAGAAGCTCAATAAATAATTTTTGCAAAGAATTAAGTTTAGAATTTTGTACTTACAAGTCAATTATTATTATTATTATTATTATTATTATTATTATTATTATTATTAATAAACGAAGGGGATTCGCAATAATATGACTACTTCATTATTATGGGATGCTAGATCATGATTATGCTAATAATTTTATTTTAAAATATTATTTTTTTTTTTGAAGACAAAGTGTTAAATTTTAATATGTAAACAAACTAATTTTTTTTTTTTGAATGTTGTAAACAAACTAATTTAAATGTTATGAAGATGTCATTTTTTGTCTTTTTACATTTATCAGTTTATTATAAAACTAATTTTATCAAACACTTTCAAGCATAACTGCTGTTCAGTTTTCAGCTCATAGTTTATATTTTTTTTCAGCTTTTAGCTCCCTTTAAGCTTTCAGCTAAGTTTGACAAACATAGCGTTCTAAAATAAGTTCTTATTTTAAGCTACTAGCTTATTTTGGGAACATTATCAAACAAAGCTTATAGTTTATTAGTAGCTTAAAATAAGCTATAAGCTCCTAAATAAGCTTTGCCAAACAGATTCTTAGTCATTCACTATTAACATTTTCTAATTATGTGCATGAATTTTTGTAATTTATATTACACTTGGTCCTGCCATTTAATTTCTCGGCCAACTATTGCTAGAAGTGCTCCTTTCCCGAAAGGAGCATTGTATTTAATTATTTCGGAATGAACACTTCCGGAAATAGTTGGTCGGGAAATTGAACAACAAGACCAAATGTGATACAAATTACATAGTCATGTACGTAATTAAATTTTTTTAATAATCAAGTACCAAATGTGATTCACATATAGGACTTGTTTGGCAATTAGCGGTTAGCGGTTTGTAAAAAGATGTTTGATAAATTAGCTGTTTAATGTTAGCGGTTAATGGCTAAAATACACAAAAGGACATTCTTAATAGTAGCAGCAGTAGTAGTAGTAATAATAATAACAACAACAACAACAACAATAATCAATCTTAAAAAAAAAAAAAGTGATGTTGGATCAAATTTGATCCCACATCGAAAACAAACTAAGGAGAGGGCGTTGAGCTCCCTCATTAGAAGGGGAGCTCAACGCCCCCTTATGCAACCCAGCCCATTCGATTCCCACATGGAAATAGAAGCCTCAGGCCTAGGCTTCATTATTAATGAAGCATGGGGCTTCTTACTGAAACAACGGTTTTTTTTTTTTTTTTTTTTTAAATAAAAGTATTAAGGGCGTTTTGGGTAAACGCTGTTAAATGCAGCGTTTTTAAAATCAGCGATTTGGAGCAATCTGCTGCTTCAAATCGTTGTTTACCAAACAGTGACTTTGGGGTTTTGATCATGGTTAAAAAGTTAAAGTTAGCGGATCTGAAATGTTGCAAAAATCCTTAAGACGCCCATTTGTTAATTAATTTTTTATTATTTTTTTTATGTTTAAAGATTTAATAAGTATAAACTATTTAATACTTTAATAGTTAATACTAAAATATTAAGAGTTAATACCATCTGAGGTCCTCCGAGTATAGTGGTTTTGCCACGTTTAGTCCTAAACTTTCAAATTGACCATTTGTGGTCTTTCAACTTTCAAATTTAACCATTCGTGGTCCAAGTTAACCACTTATGGTCCTTCAAATTTCGAAATTTAACCAGTCGTGGTCCTCTTAAAAGGACCATGGTTGGTTAAAATTTAATAGTTGAAGGACCATGGGTGGTTAACTTGGACCACGGATGGTTAAATTTGAAAGTCGAAGGATCACAGATGGTCAATTTGAAAGTTTAGGACTAAACGTGGCAAAACCACTATACTCGGAGGACCTCGGATGGTATTAACTCAAAATATTAAATATTAACCTAAAATACAAATAGAATTGTAAATTGTATAAAGATTTAAAAAATCAAAACACAATTACACAAAATCACAACTCACAAAGTATCAATATTAAAGTAGATGATTTGATTTCGATTTTTAACACATTTTTTGGGGTTGGGACCAATTTGAAAGATTTAGAATTTTTTTAATTTATTTTTTGCTTAAAATTACATCGTGTTGAGAGAAATAACATTTAAAACAAAAAATAGCTAATCCCTGGGTGCCTAGACAATTGCTTAGGGCGCTTAGTCCTCCACGATCAAGTCGGCGCCTAGACCGTTTAAACAGCCAACCACATAAATTATCAATTTTGGTGATTTTTTAAGCGAACGATCGTCGTCTAACGTCTAGGTGCGATTTTTTCAACAATGCGTATAATAGTTGAGGACCAAAAGCGAAATTTATTGAAAAGAAAAAAAAAGGGAAAGAATATGTACCAAAAAGAAAAGGTAGGAAAGGAATAAAAAAAAAAAAATTGCACGAAGGGGAAAAAGAAATAAATAGGAGCAGTAATATCTTTTTCTTTCCCACAAAGCCAAGATTCACATCAACATCATTGTCACAGAGGGCGAGAGAGAACGAGTCAGACGCAGGCACATATATACATGTAGGCAGACTGGTGGCCTTCGCAAAAATTCGTAGAATATAAACAACGTTATTCACATTTATTCACATTAGGATTTTGGGTACACTGGAGTTGTCGATAATCTCCGCATTGGCTCGCTTAGGTTATGCCGTTACCCCCTCAGGTATGAAACCAATGCATATTCTTTATTTATGATTCAATTTCATGGTTTCTGATCCTGATCTGGGTGAATTCTTGGTGTGAATTGATTCGTTCATGAATCCGGATCTAGGGTTATTGTTTTCCTGGGTTTGATATTCGGGTGTTTGCTGGTTTTTCTTTAAACTGTACTTTTTGGTTTCGATCTTATGGTTTTAATTAATGTAGGCTAATATTATTGGCTTTGTTTGAATGTTCGAGTTTTTAATTTTTATACTTCTCTTCAATTTCTAATGTTTGGGGAATCCATCGATTCGTTGTTTGAATGGGCTTTTCCATATTGAAGAACTTTGATTTTTGTTGTCTATTGGAATGTTTTAGCGGTTAATCTTTGGAGTTATCTGAGCCCTTGATGTTTGGAGAATGTATTTTCAGCAGAAGTGTGTGATATTGCTTTTTGTTACAGTGATGTATAACTAACAACCTGATTCTTCTGCATTTCTGTGTGAATCAGATACATGCTTTATTTATTGTGACTTTTTGTATAATAGATGTGGTATATAAAGTGAACTTGGTTTAGTTCTATTGATTGTGATATTTTGGTTGAATTTGCTACTGAGAATCCTGATTTTTCTAATTATTGAAGTTATATAGGGCCCTTTTAATTCTTCTGCATGCTAAAACAGGCATGAGAATAAAATAATAGCTGATATTTAGTTTGCCTTGGCAGGAGAAGATTTTGTTGTATAATTTTGATTTATTTAAATTTAATTTTGTTAAATGCTTATCTGAAAATGCCAGGGCTTCTCTTTTATCTTGTGGTATTGCAGGTTTTGTTAGACTTCAATTCCAAGGGATTAATATCACTTAGGACATGGAGCAAATATGCCTTTGGTCAGATTGCTATCTGTATCAAGTGTTATCATTCCAAAAAGTGCTTGATGAACGGTTTCTCATCCATGTGGATTTTCTTCTCGTTTCCTTTGTCAATTGCACTTAGTGAGGAGCCTTTCTTGAATGATCAGTTCAGGATGCCGACTGCAAATTCTTTATAAAATAGACATTGGATCTTTTATGCAATTTGACAAACTGCATACCTTGTTATGATGTCAGTTGTGACTATACTGTTAACTCATGCAATTTCAGTGTTGCTAGTGATTTCTGATACACCACCCATTTGAGATCATTTGGAACCCTTCACATGAGGTATTGCCTTTTATTTCTTCTGTGTTTCTCATCAACCTTTAATTGTTTATCTGACTCTTTTGTAATTTTAAATATAAAAACTCACATCTGAGCTCTTTTCCCCTTGCCTTTGCAGGGCTATATTCTGTGAGCAAATGGATGATGTTTCTGAACATCATTGAAGAGTTAGATTGACTGTTGCACTCTTTCTTAGAGTTGGTAGTTTTTATACACATCTTGGCATTTTCGCTAGACAGGTGCCTGGTGCAAGTTAACCAATTCGCTTGACTGAAGGATCACATTAGCTTCTTCTAGCATATCTGAAAAGGAATGAACATTAGCTCTGTCTATTATATATGACAAACTTGCCATACTGTTTGAGAGAACACTTTGGACAGTGTCCTGGGCTGAGAATTAAATAACTAATCCCCGTTTGATTCAACTTCGTTCTGCTCCGGCTAGTAGTTGGGTGAATATCGAGATGATCAACACTTGTTTTCTTACCTTACCCTACCTAGCTTATTATTCCTTTGATGTCATGGTGGTATATCTCATGAATAAGGCTGTGGAACCTGTCCATCATATCCTTACTGGTTTTACCATCAAGTGTGGGACCACACACAATTGACGGTGAATTTTACCTAATCAGCCATGCTAGTAGCTTATATGTAGTTCCTCTTTTTCAGTGTCAACTAGAGGCACAGTACTTACACCTTCACAGTGTCTACATTCTTTCTCCATCTTGAATAAATAAGTGAGTGCTCCGTGCGGGTTAAGTATAAAAATGGATAGGTAAGTTATTTATTTATTAATATTTTTTCTGTCTCTCTATTATATGGAGTAATTCTTTATTATTATTATTATTATTATTTATTATTTATTATTTATTATTATTATTATTATTATTTTTTGGCTGGATTTAATATACAAATGCTGCTGGCTTGGTGCAGGTATAAGATAATTAAGGAGGTTGGTAATGGTACATTTGGAAGTGTATGGCGAGCAATCAATAAGCAAACTGGTGAAGTGGTGAGGGCTATTCCTATTTAATGAGCTTTGTGTTATGTTTATTATAAATTAAAATTTCCATTAACATTACCATTTAAACAGGTTGCAATCAAAAGAATGAAAAAGAAATATTATTCATGGGAAGAATGTATAAACTTGAGAGAAGTCAGGGTAAACTTTTTGCTCCCTATTTGATTTTATTTAGTTTTTCTTTCCATCTGAAAATAAATGACATAAGTTGTATTTTGCAGTCATTGAGGAGAATGAACCATCCAAATATTGTGAAGCTCAAGGAAGTGATTAGAGAAAATGACATCTTGTTCTTTGTGTTTGAATACATGGTATGTGCTGCTCTTTGTTAACCACTGTTTTATCTCTTCAGTCATTGACTCTTATGCGGCATTAATTTGACTTCTTCTAGGAGTATAATCTATACCAGCTTATGAAAGACAGAGGAAAGCTGTTCTCGGAAACTCAAGTGAAAAATTGGTGTTTTCAAGTATTTCAAGGTCTTGCAGACATGCATCAACGTGGATGTTTTCATCGTGATCTCAAGCCAGGTTTAAATTGGAGCATTCTATTTTTTATTATTTTTTTAGAAAAGTGGCATTTATATGTTGCTGTTACCAGAAAACTTCTGGTAGTGTTTTTCTTATATACTAAGTGTGTGTCTACCTGTTGATACTCCCTCTGTACACAATTATTTTCCTCTTGGAAAAGATACACGGATTTAGGAGAACATATAAGTAGCTACAGTTCCAATTTTTCCCCATCATAAATGTGTTAAATGCCATATTATTTTTATTTCAATTTCAATTCAAAAGGATTTTTTGGTAATGAGCTATAAATATTATTCCATATTAGACTTGGTAGATAGTTTTTGTTGGTGTATCCAAACTAGTAAGGACAGTTACATATATGTGGACCGAGGGAGTAGTTAAACAATGGAGACATTAGAGTGAATTGTTGCATACAATCAGAGTCCAAAGTTTTCCTTCATAAAGAAAAGTTTTGAGTCTGAAGGAACAAAAAGAGATAAATCTATATTATTCAACTGTCAAACTATCTTTGTGCAGTTGTCTTTGAAATCTGAACACTTCATAACTTTTTCAGCCTTAATTTGGTATTTCTATGAGCTGTTAGCAGTATCAGGTTTACCCTCACACGTGTTCTTGAAGTATAGGAAAGTATTTCAAAGAGCCTTTAAATTCCTGCTGTGTTTGCTATTTCCATGTGACATGAGTAAATTGCAGTGTTCTTCTGTTATATGAGTTTTGCGTACAACTGCCTTGTATAATACTGAATTGTTGCATTACTTCTATACTGAGATAATGCAGGCCTTCTGATTGTGGTTTGGCTGTGCTAATGTAATTTCTATTGTTGCACAGAAAACCTGTTGGTTACAAAGGAGATCATTAAAATTGCTGATTTTGGCCTTGCCCGTGAGATTAATTCTCAACCTCCATATACAGAATATGTTTCAACCCGCTGGTAAGCATTTGCTTCTATAATTTGTGCAAAGCAGTACCTCCATCTTTTATCTTTATTATTATTATTATTATTATTATTATTATTATTATTATTATTATTATTATTATTATTATTATATTATATTTAATATTTAATTTACTTTTATGTTTTAATTGATAGCTAAAATTTTAAACTACAGGTATCGGGCTCCTGAAGTTCTTCTCCAGTCACCAACATATGGTTCTGCTGTTGGTATGCATGAGATTATAGAGAATAACTGTTTTGGAATCAGTTTGTGTTCTTTCATCCTTTTCTATTTTCTGATGTGCAATTTACTTTTGTCTTTTGCTCAAAGATATGTGGGCCATGGGTGCAATAATGGCTGAGTTGTTTACCCTTCGCCCTCTATTCCCTGGCTCAAAGTAATCTCTCTTTCTCTCGTATGTTCTTTTTCATTATTTTTTTTTTCATGAAATGCTTACGGATTATTCTTTTTGAATGCAGTGAAGCAGATGAGATCTACAAAATATGCAGTGTAATAGGCACCCCAACAATGAGTGAATGGTCAGAAGGTCTGGAACTTGCTAATGCGATTGGTTACCAGTTTCCACAGGTGGGATAGTTGCCATCTCTTCCCCTGTCCTCACCCTTCCAAAGCGTGTGCTTGGAATGAACCCATTCCATTAGCATGTTTCCTAACCTGTGAATCCTACTTTAGTGACATATTGGCTTTATCCTGTTTTTCATGGCAGATTGCTGGTGTACATCTTTCTGCCCTGATACCATCTGCTAGTGAGGATGCAATTAATCTTATAACAGTAAGTGCTATTTTCAAGTACTTTTCATCATTTCTCTCAATTTGTCTTCTATATTTTCTTTTGTGTCTGGGCCGTGGACTCTTGGGTTGGATTGGCTTTTGTAGTTATAGACTGGATTGGGACAATCTGCTTATAACTTTTCTTGTTCATATGCTCCCCTGCAGTCACTTTGTTCATGGAATCCCTCCAAGCGACCTGCTGCAGTTGATGTCCTTAAGCATCCTTTCTTCCAGGTATTTCTATGTTTTTCTAGTATTCAGTCAATTTTCTCTTGAATTTTTTTTAAAAAATATTGAACTATGTATTAGTGCAAACAGTAGATGGAACTGATTGTGTATTATGTGTCAGAGTTGCATCTATGTTCGTCCATCTATACGGTCTAAAGAAGTCCTCGGTAGAACACCTCCATCTGGTTTGTCTTTCTCCAAACACCTCCCCCCACGATCCCCACCCTTTTCTGTTCTCTTTTAATCTTTTTCTTATATCTGTTTCGGGATTATATGAATACAGTAGGGCGCTATAACAATGGATTTGCTTCTGCTGGAACAAAGGCATTTGAACCAAAAGGCAATAGGTGGTCCTCAGGTGCTCTCTCCCACCCAAAGCCCACTAGTAACTTCTCTCCTGCCAAGTCCCATGTGTCCTTGAATACTGCGGGTAATGTTAAAATGCTTTTTTTATTTTATTTTATTTTATTTTATTTTTTTATAGTAATCTACAGTCGTAAACTCTCAAGAATAGCCTAAGCCCTTAACGTTGTCGTATAATTTATACTGTGCTCTCACATGAACTGCTCTCATGCATAGCAGAGGATGAGAAATATTTCCCGTTGATTCAATTATTTTTTCTGCATAACAGGTGTGCAAAGAAGGTTGGATATGAACTACCAACAGGTTTGTCTATTTGTAATCATCTTTTACACTCTAATGATTATAGCACGAGAGCTAGAGCTGATAACCTTCTGTCTGTTGGTTGTACCAGGATGCGATGAAGAATGATAAACCTGTTAAGGCTTCGATAAAGCAACAACTGAAAAACCGGGCTTTAGCAAGGGACAACCAACGTGCAAGTGAAAAACCTAGTGTAGTCTCTGGTGCAACAGAAAAGCTAGCCAACATGACAATTGGGTCTACTAGAAGAGTAGCCACAAAACCTGTGCCTCAACCTATGAAGGCTGGAGGATGGCACGCACAACCTGATGCGTTTCTTGTGAAATCTCAGGATATTCTTCCCGGAAGAAGTTACACAAGGAAAGTGGCGGGATGAACCAATTTCTTGCTCTGTTGCTTTTATAGTGTGTGCTATTGCTGGTCCTTTTTTCTGTGGCTAAAATATGTTTTGTTGAGTGGGTGATCCCAGCCACTTCTATGGTATCTTTCGTTTTGTTTCGTTTTATTGACATTACTTGTCTCAAACGCAAGTTCTCGTGTGTGTGTGTGTTTTTTTCCCGTTTCGACTTGGTTAATAAAATACTGGTTTGTGTTTTTGATATTTTCTCAGAGAAATGTGTGCCTATAAATTTGCTGATTTGGTTTAGGCAAATTATGCTGTGGAACTGTGTACACCTTACAAGGTGAACACGGTTTAAAAACTGTAAATAATTGTGAATATAGAATTCTATAGTTATGAATATAGAGTTATCAACGTAGAGTTCTATAATTATGAACATAGAGTTTTATAATTGTGAATGTAGAGTTCAAATAATTGTGAATATAAAGTAAAAAAATTATGAACATAGAGTTTTATAATTATGAACATAGTGTTTAGTAATTATAAACATAAAATTCTGTAATTTTGAATATAGAGTTTAATAATTGTGAATATGAAGTTTAAAAATTATGAACATAGAATTTAGTAATTATGAATATAGAACTGTGTTCACTTTGTAAGGTGAGCATGGTTCCACGGCATAACAATTGATTTGTTTATTGAAAATGTTGTATTTCCCACCTTAAAGTTTATAAAAATTCTTGGCGGTCCACGAATTGAAACTCAATTGTAGCTTTTAAAAAGTCATCCTTAATCTTACAGATTATACAAATTGTAATCAATCTGGATTCTCAATTCCAATCGTTATGAGTTGTATGTGGAGTCGCAAAATCCAAGCCCAAAATCTATTTTACTATATTTAAAATGTTATCTATCATATTTATTACGGAGTACTACGCTATAATATATTAACTAGTAATTCATCCGCGCGATGCACGGGAAAAAATTATTATGTTATTATAAATATAAATAAAAAATAGAAAAACTAAACTATTTTAAATTATTTAATATAATAATATTTTTAAACTTCCATTGGTCAAGTATTTATTATTTTTATAGAATACAAAATTACAATTAAAATTAAAATTAATATTAAAATTATAATTTTGTATGGTTAATATAATCTCTAATTATGTGCATATTCAAATAAACTTATAGAGAGAATTTACATAATTACATTGATTTATTCTTAATTGTATTTCATCTCTATTATAATTTTCACAATACGAATAATAACTAAGATAATTACATTTGGAAAACAAATTTCAAATTTTGTATGTGTAAATTTAAACTCTAATTGAACACATTTTTTTATATGATTATATAATATATAGCTATTTTATTTTTCAAAAGTATATTTTTTATATGATTATATAATATATAGCTATTTTATTTTTTAAATGTTGTGTGTGTGTGTGTTTTTTTTTTTTTTTATATAATAAAAGATGTTGTGGCATTAATTGTAACATTAATTTATTTCCCAAACTATATAACTTTATTATATAAAGGATGGCACGTTTGGAATATACTTATCATTTCACATCTCTTTCCTTCTTCTTCGGCGATCTATCTTTTCCGACGAATTCAATGTTGAGGTGCGCTGCGATGCTTTCAACATTATTCAAAAAGAAAAGTATTTATTCAACATCAATTTTAGCATAATGTTGATATAGAGAAGTTTTAGAATAAATAAGCACCGGCATCAGTTTTAGCATTTCGTCGGAAAAGATGAATTCGCCGGAGAAGAAGGAAAGAGATGTGAAATGACTATAACTTCATCCTTGAATTCGCCGGAAAAGATAAATTCGCCGGAGAAGAATGAAAGAGATGTGAAATGACTAAAACACCCTCATTATTTTAACTGCTAAAATTTTTCGGCGAAATTTGGCTGGCAATTTAACCCGAGTGACAAAAATTGATAAAAGTTGCATAGTCAATGTACTAAATTGACACTTTTGAAAATCAGGTGCTGAAATTAACAAAGCCCCTATAGTCATAGGACCAAAATTAAAATTTTCTCTCTTATGCCATTTGCATCAAATTTAAGCTTCAAACAAAGGTATTCTACTTAATTTTTTTTACAAATTAATTATTTATAAATTGTGTATTTTGATCCAAGTCCACCTTACAAGGTGGACTTGGGTCCATCGCATAACTGTTGATAATTTTCCCTCATGTACATCCTAGGTTGTTGTACAAGATCCCAATTATTTATATATATATATATATATATATATATATATATATATATATATATATATATATATATATATATATATATATATATATATATATATATATAGATTAGCGCTCAAATGCGGCAGTGGCTTTAGGTGCGGCGGTGCGGCTATATCAGCATCGTCCATTTTGCTTAATCTAACGGCAGTGGTTAATTTCTGAAGATTTAAAGATTTAAGCGCGTCCTGATAAGTGGGGGGTGTTATGGTAATTGTAGTGGTCATTTATATCGGCCGCTTGTCAGAATACACCAACAGTGTTAACTAAAGACACCAATAGTGTTAGGAAAAAGCACCACAATGAAATGCACAAATACACCAAAAAACACACAACACACTCAAAAAATACATCATATAACTCACCACCCCAATGGTGTATTTCTGAACACTGTGTGGTGCTTTTATTCATACCTAATGGTGTGTTCTGGTGATGCATATCTAATTTGTGACATGTTTTTTTGGTGTGCATTTTCTAACATGGATGGTGTATATTTGTATAACTATTAGTGCACCCGCACTGACCGCATGGGAAGGCGCGGGCGCACCTAAACTTGGCACCAACACGAATCCTCAAATACACCACAGTAAGGTTAATAATGCACCAATAACGAACATAAAACACACAACACTATGATTTGATCTATTCAGGTGCCCAATGACGACTTTAACCTTGCAGTTCGCGTAGTGTGAGAACGTGCGCGAAAATATCGGAAAAGCCTGGATGAATGTGATTCGTTGAATTTATCTAATCTAATGGCCTACATTTAACCGCACCGCCGCACCTAAGCGCACTGCCGCACTTGAACCTTCCTATATATATATATATATATATATATATATATATATATATATATATATATGTTATATTATATTATATTATATTATATTTACACACTTTTTTGTTTAATGGTTCAATTGCATAAATGTGTAAAAATTTAGTGGTCTATTTGGCATTTTTTTCTACATTTTATCGATTGTTTTAAACATTGTAATTATGTTTCTAAACTCAATGGATGTTTCTAAACTCAATGTTTCTAAACTCAAGTGGCCCGCTCATTTCGTGGACATCTAAATTTGCAAGAAAAATATCACTTTTTAAAGTAAAATTTTGTATTCTATTTTTCTATGTTGTATATTTTATATATTGTTTTGACAAAAAAATATTAAATAGTATATTTTTATTTTATATTTGTATATATACTAAAGTAAATTACTCCGATCCGTGTTAAACATGCTATTATTATTTTTGGAACCCTACACATTATAGTTGAAAGTCGAAAATGGGAAATTTTAGTGTGGGTCATGGTCCACATTATATGGTGAATTACTAATAAATGTTCATTAGTAGTATATTGAAGATTAATTTTTATGTAGTATACTAAAAACGTATTTGTAATACACCAAAAATAATGAACGGTCAAAAAGTAAACATATAGTGTACTAAAAATGAGCCTTCAGTATCTTAAAGATGAACATGTATATTAAAGGTCCACCTTATAACGTAGATCATAGTCCATAATATACAAATTGAACTAAAAGTGTTATTAACTAGCCACTTAAATTTTTACCTAAAACATAAAAAAGAATTGTCATAATATATCTTCCACTGCAAGGAGCATCTATAGTAGTTGTTCACCAGCTTTGGGATATTTCTTTCATATTTTAGAATATGCGTAATGAGCGGGCCAAATAAATATTAAGCAATGTTGAAAGCCCCATGAAAAGCTTGAGGAAGTGGTGAATCAATACTTGGAGGACTACAAAAATGATTGCTTAAAAGATAAAGGATGGACTGATAGGACTCTATACTCTTTCAAAGGCAGCCATGAATGCTTATGCAAGAACCATAGCACACAAATATCATAATTTATAGGTGATCATATTTGGGAGTATGGCACGTAATATGCAAGGAGTGGGGGAAAATCACACAACCAAGAGATAGAGGGGATAATGCAGGTAGAAATCCTAGTCTAAAAGTCAAGTCTCGTGATCAATAAACAAGGGTTAGAACAAGAAATTGTCTCACTTACATGATGCATCCACTCCAAGTTCTTCAAGCACAAAAAAACATAAAAGCCCCCAATTTCACCTATTTTTATAGGAAGAAATTGGATTTATGCAAGGAGTGGCTTGAAATATTGACCAACTCTCATTGAGGCCACGAATCCTCCAAAAACATGCTAATGAATGTGCACATCTATCATAACAATGATTCAAACACGTACAAAGCTTTCACAAACATATGAACCCTAGGTTAGAGCTCTTCTCTTATGCAATAATCACAAATAAAGCATCAAGATAGACAATACAATCCTAGTTCAAGCCCATAAGCTAACTACTCACACATATTAAACATAAACATCATAAAAATACAAGAACAAAACATAAATAATATAAAAGAAAGAGATAGAAAGAAAATAGAAGTTATCTATTAAATGGAAGTGAAAATGATGGAATCCCTTCAAATCCAAAATTACAAGCTTCAAAAGTGTAAAGGAACATATCTAAGTCTAATCTAACCCTAAAAATGAAAGAAATGAGTAGAAAATAGCTAGGGCTCAATCATGAGTCGGAACCAAGTAAAAAGGGATAAATCGCACTTAAATACTAACAGAGCAGAGTGGCACAGCCATAGGCACGGTTGTGCCACTGGCCGTGCCAAAATCAGCCCAAAAATTGATGCTTACTACCTCGATGGCACGGCCTTAGGCACGTCTGTGCACTTGACCGCGTCTTTAATTTGACCTTCAAAACTTCGGATTTAGAATTTATGATCTTCAGGAAAGTTATAGCCCTTCGAGTTTTCTTTCCAATGGCGCAAGAATCATTGAGACATTCTTAGGACAATATATGGTCCAAATACTAAGACGTTGGCATGCTGTGGGATAATTGCAACGCCATGATCTTTTGCTCAACTTTTGCCTTAATTTATCTAAATGACCAAGAACATTCAAAACACTACTCTTTGTCTCCCTTGGAAGTACTGCATA